CCCCCCCCCCCCAGGGTGTGGGCTCTGCCGTGTGGCCTCCCCAGTGTAGTACAGTTCATGTTGCCTTGATAGTTCAGAGAGGTAGCGTGTCTAGACAGTACGTACACAGAGGTTTTTCATACCTCGGTTCTGACATTTTTCTGGGTTGCAAGGAAAATTTGAGAGAGGAAAGACAGGAGCCTGTCCGATACTAAAGCAATAGATCTGTCAGAAGAGTGTCACTGGTCCTAGAACCTACAGGTCAATAGAAAAGAAGAAACATTTTGAAACAAACCTCAGTTCAAGTCAGAATTTAGGGTGTGTTAGAGATGGTAACTCAAATTGTGCTGAGTAGTAATTTGGAAATGAAGTAAACTAGGTTCTTAATCTGTATAGCAGATTGTATTCCAGAAACTTGGAAAAGTTAAGTAGGAAAACAATAAGTATAAAACAATAAGAAGAAAATAGTGGTCAATATTTAATATGATTTCAAGGTACAAAGGACTGGGTGAGATGGCCCCGATTAGCCCTGATTGCTGGCAAGGCTGAGGGACCCCGCCTGTGCACAAATTCGTGCACCAGGCCTCTAATGAGTAAATAAAGCTAAACAAACAAAAAACCAAGGTAAGCACCTTGTTAGAAAAATAGGCCAAGGACACATTTTGGGAAGTTCTCAAAAGAAATACAGAAAGTTGGTAAGACAGAAAGATAATCAGAGGGAAGCAGATTAAAACAAGACCCTCTTTTCTTTTTTTTTTTTAAAAAAAATTTTTTTTTTTTTTTTTATTTTTTTTTTTTTTTTTATTTTTTTTTTTTTTTTTATTTTTTTTTTTTTTTTTATTTTTTTTTTTTTTTTTATTTTTTTTTTTTTTTTTATTTTTTTTTTTTTTTTTATTTTTTTTTTTTTTTTTATTTTTTTTTTTTTTTTTATTTTTTTTTTTTTTTTTAAAACATATTTTATTGATTTTTTACAGAGAGGAAGGGAGAGAGATAGAGAGTTAGAAACATCGATCAGCTGCCTCCTGCACATCTCCCACTGGGGATGTGCCCGCAACCCAGGTACATGCCCTTGACCGGAATCGAACCTGGGACCTTTCAGTCCGCAGGCCAACGCTCTATCCACTGAGCCAAACCGGTTTTGGCAAGACCCTCTTTTCTAAAAGATTGTGAGGTTCCTAACTCAGCAGTGCTGGCTTTGAGAGCACCGTGATGGCAGGTGGGCAGCTCCGCCTAGCCAGTTGGAAGCCTTCAGGGGCTTTTAGGAGAGGTGCTGTTGGGTTGTTGAGATGGTGGGGGCCATGGGAAGAGTCAGCCCTTCCAGCAGTGAGGGGCTGTCCAGCTCAGTGAGCACCCACACACCTACTTTGTAGATCTTGGAGCCGGGCCGCAGGGAGCGGCTGGGGCTGAAGATGGCCAACGAGGCTGCTGCCAAGAACCGGGCCAAGAAGCAGGAGGCCTTGCGGAGAGTGACGGAGAACCTGGCCAGGTGAGGGCTGTCTGACCCTCATGGGGTTTCTCCCTGCTCCCACTCAACCCCACCCCCAACAGTGTGGACATTCGGTCTTCAGGGCAGTCCCAGGTGTCCTTCGATGGGTCCTGTGGCAGCTCCCCTGGCCCGGAGTGAGGTCCTGTATGAACCGGGATGTGGGGGCCCCCTTCGTTTTTTTCTTCAGCCTCTCAGGCACATCCCTAAAAGGTACCGTAAGGCCTATTGTCCCACTATGAGCTCTTGTCACACCTGTGACCATGGACGTCATCATTCCCCTTAGAGAAAATTGGGGTCTACCCCAGCCCCATGGCCAAGGGCAGCACCAGCACTCCACCTCAAGTTTGGCCACACTTGTATGCCAGGTCACTGATGTCCTCAGCCCAGAATGACCATGAGTCTCCCATGTGTCTTCCTATGGAGCTGTGACAGGCCCTGTTGGTGGTGCACCATCAGGCCTAATCTACCTCTCTTGCTCACCCCCTCTATCCCAGCCTCACCCCCAAAGGCCTGAGCCCCGCCATGTCCCCAGCCCTGCAGCGCCTTGTGAGCAGAACAGCCAGCAAGTACACAGACCGGGCCCTGCGGGCCAGCTACACACCGTCCCCAGCACGCTCAGCCCATCTCAAGACCCCGGCCGGCGGGCCCCAGACCCCGACGAGCACACCAGCTCCTGGCTCGGCCACACGCACCCCCCTCAGCCAGGACCCGGCCTCCATCACAGACAACCTGCTGCAGCTCCCTGCCCGGCGCAAAGCCTCAGACTTCTTCTAGGGCCAGGCCCGGGCTGGGCTCACGGGATATTTGTGGAGCCTGCAGGGCAGCTGTCCATTCAGCAGAGGACTCCGGCCTTTTGGGGACCCAGGCCCGGGCCAAAAGCAGTGACTGTCCCAGGAGCCATAGAAGAAAGGTGCCATGTCACAGACAGGCTGGCACAGGACCCACCCCATGGCCCTTGGATGCATCCCAGGGCTTTGCTGGTACTTTTTTCTATGGAACCCCTGCCCATTTCTATTTAACAGGAATTAAAGAACACATAGCACAGTCTGCAGGGCCGTCCCTTTGCTTGCATCGAGGTCTCAGGATTATGGGAGAAGATACGCTTGGAGGGTTAGGTGTCTCACCTTTCCTGAGTCCACCTGCATTGCTTTCTGTGGCACTCCTGGGCTTAAAACCTGAGCTGAGCTCACAGCATATTGGTCCCCTGTGACCCCCACCTCAAATTCTGTTCCTCTGAGGGAAGGACGGAGCCCTTGGGAATTCAGCCTCTAGGGTTCACCTGGAGCTCTGGGCCCAGGACTGCATGGGTCCTACATAGGTGTCAGGCCACACTCCTGTGTGAGCTTCCTTCCCAGTGGCTTCACCATGACTTCTAAGCACCTGGTTTCTAGCTCAGATGGGGCAGGACTGTCTCCATCTTCCTGCCCCCTCCCCAGCTCCCCCATGCTCCAGCACTGCCAGTCTTAGGATGCTGAGTCACCAATCTCACCTTGTCACTCCCACCAGTAGTAGCTCCAGGTAACAGTAACCTGGGCCACAGTGTCAAGCAATGGGGCCTGCCTCATGCAGCACCATTTATACCACCAGCCAGCACTGGCTTGGCAGCCTGAGTGTATTGGTGCCCAACCCCCAGAAGGTCTAGGACCAGCTGCTTCCCATGGAGTTGGGGGGCCCAAGACCATGGCTGCTTGCCAGATGGGTCTCTTCTGCCTCAAGTGGGGTCAGATTGTGCCCTTGGGGGCTCGCTGCTCCGGGAGGCGACCTGGAACCCCTCAGACTGGAGTCCTGCTTCGAGCACACCCAGCCCTTGCACTAGGCCATCTTCCTGAGTCCTCCTGCATTGGTCCTCTTCTGCCCTCCTGAGTGCCATTAGCCTCCGGAGGCTGGTGCAGGGCCTTCTGGACACCGCCAGCCTGCACTCCTCGACGGTGAGTTCCTGCAAACTCTAGGTTAGACCTTGGGCTGGTAGGGGATGCCCTGCAGGACCTCTGGGGCCGCATATGCCGCCGACCCACAGAAGGTCTTGCTGAGGATGATGCGCCCGCGCGGGTGAGCTTGGACCAAGGTCTGGGACTGCAAAGTGTGGGTTTTGATACTTTTCCCGCATGGGGAAGAGTGGCCTTGGGCCTGAGGGTGCCCCAGGAAATGAGGTCTGAGCGGGCGTGAGTGAGATGCAGAGAGAGACGTCCAGTCAAGCCCACCTAAGGCCAGGTGCTGACCACTTTCAGTACGTGGCTGGCCAGTGTGCCCTGGGTGACAAGATAGGGCTGCTGTGTAGGGTGATCAGGATGCAGCGGAGGGGGTGCAGGTCAGAGGTCTTGGCTGGGGTTGCCTGCCTGGAGGATGAAGGGGGAGGAAAACTTTGAGGAAGGGCTGTCTGAGGAAGTGGGATGGGGTCAGAGTGCTGTGCTGCACCTGAGGTGGGGGAACATGCACCTGGCAAGCCCTTAGGATGCTGAGTCACCAATCTCACCTGTCACTCCCACCAGTAGTAGCCCCAGGTAACAGTAACCTGGGCCACAGTGTCAAGCAATGGGGCCTGCCTCATGCAGCACCATTTATACCACCAGCCAGCACTGGCTTGGCAGCCTGAGTGTATTGGTGCCCAACCCCCAGAAGGTCTAGGACCAGCTGCTTCCCATGGAGTTGGGGGGCCCAAGACCATGGCTGCTTGCCAAATGGGTCTCTTCTGCCTCAAGTGGGGTCAGATTGTGCCCTTGGGGGCTCGCTGCTCAGGGAGGCGACCTGGAACCCCTCAGACTGGAGTCCTGCTTCGAGCACACCCAGCCCTTGCACTAGGCCATCTTCCTGAGTCCTCCTGCATTGGTCCTCTTCTGCCCTCCTGAGTGCCAATAGCCTCCGGAGGCTGGTGCAGGGCCTGCTGCCTTCTGGACACTGTCAGCCTGCACTCCTCGACGGTGAGTTCCTGCAAACTCCAGGGGCCAAGTCCTGGCTGTGCCCTGTGACCCACCAAGGGGACTGGGGTGGGCTTAGCGGGTGAGCTTGGACCAAGGTCTGGGACTGCAAAGTGTGGGTTTTGATACTTTTCCCGCATGGGGAAGAGTGGCCTTGGGCCTGAGGGTGCCCCCAGGAAATGGGAAAGCAGAGGTCTGAGCGGGCGTGAGTGAGATGCAGAGAGAGACGTCCAGTCAAGCCCACCTAAGGCCAGGTGCTGACCACTTCCAGTACGTGGCTGGCCTATTGGGAGTGTGCCCTGGGTGACAAGATAGGGCTGCTGTGTGGGGTGACCAGGATGCAGTGGAGGGGGTGCAGGTCAGAGGTCTTGGCTGGAGTTGCCTGCCTGGAGGATGAAGGGGGAGGAAAACTTTGAGGAAGGGCTGTCTGAGGAAGTGGGATGGGGTCAGAGTGCTGTGCTGCACCTGAGGACTTATGCCTGAGCCCCGGTCCCTGGACCCCTATGCTGGAGACGCTGCGCCGCAAGGAGGGTGGTTGGCTGAGTCCTGGAGAGAAAGACTCCTCAGGGGGCACTCTCAATGCTTGTTTACACTTTGTGGTTTATTTGCTGGTTAGTCATTAATGTCTTTGCTACCAAGTAGAAGAAAGCTAATAGAACGTAATCAAAATAGTGGTTTAATTGACAGATTTTACTTGTTCCTTGCACCTGTGCCTTCTTCAGCTCCTACCTGCCTACTTAGTTTACGTGGGCGCCACTGTGCACCACGCCCCCCAGCCATCTGCACCCTAGGTACCTGCCTTCCCCACCTCGGCTCCGGCTCCGGAGACATGGTGTTCTTTTGCCTTGGAGGTCTCGGCCAGCCTGTCCTCCATTTTGTCCTCATTCTCGGGCACCACATGCAGCCGGTGCTGGGTTTTGGCCCCCAGCTTGTGATCGGGCCGGTGCTCGGGCCGGTGCTCGGGGCATGAGCCTGGCCGCGTGTCCAGTTTGCAGTCGGCCCGATACTTGCCCTCACCATCCTTCTTGAAGGAGGCGGAAGACATGGCTTTGGGCTTGGGGGGCTGCAGCCACGAGTGGCTGAGGATCTCGTCGATGTGCAGCCGCCGGTTGACGTCCGGCTGCAGGATGCGGTAGATGAGGTCCTTGCACTCACCCGTCAGGTTCTTGGAGCGCGGGAAGTCCACGCGGTGCTCCTTCTGGATGCGCAGCATCTTCTTGATGTCGGAGTCGTCGTAGGGCATGGAGCCACAGACCATGATGTAGAGGATCACACCCAGGCTCCAGATGTCATAGACCTTGGGCTGGTAGGGGATGCCCTGCAGGACCTCTGGGGCCGCATATGCCGCCGACCCACAGAAGGTCTTGCTGAGGATGATGCGCCCGCTGCAGTCTCTCAGGCAGCGTTTCGAGAAGCCGAAGTCGGACAGCTTGATGTTGAAGTCCTTGTCAAGGAGAAGGTTCTCGCACTTGAGGTCTCGGTGGACGACGTCCAGGTCGTGGCAGTACTTGACGGCTGAGGAGAGCTGGCGGAACATCTTGCGTGCCACATCCTCATGCAGGGCTCCCCGGCACTTGATGAACTCGAGGAGGTCGCCCTGGACCCCAAGCTCCATGACAATGTAGATTCGCCCATCTGAGGTCTCGAAGATCTCGTAGGTCTTGATGATGGAGCGATGATTGACAGTCGCCAGGATGTCCATCTCCCGAGGAAGGAATCTCTCCACAAAGTCGGAGGGCGTTTTCTTGCGGTCAATGATCTTGACCGCCACATTGAACTTGAGGCGCTCAGAGTAGGCTGATTTGACTTTTGCGTAGGAGCCCTTGCCAAGATTGATACCCACGATGTAACCCTTTTTCCTTAGGACCGCAGCATCATCCATGGTGCCAGGAGTGGCGGGCGCCACTGCCCTCTACATCCCCTCCCCACGTGGGCCAGCAGGCATTGTCCTCATTTACAGTGTGGGGAGCCGTCTGGCTGGGCTGCCCTGGACTAGTGGAATGCTCAGCATTATCTCCACGTGACTTCAGCATGTGAAGTCATAAAGCCAGGCAGCCGGGAGTGAGAACTGGGCCGGGGGGAACAGGGCCCCTGGAACCCTGGAAGCCAGCTGGCGTGGCAGGAGTGCTTACTCCCCACCCACTTAAGGGAGCCAGCACCTAGGACTGTGGTAACCGTCCCTGCTCCTCCTTGCCGGGGCTTCCCTGTCACGAGTCAGGCCGAAGGTGGCGGCTGCCCAGGGATGCCAGTCCCATGCTAGTTTTCCTTTCCTGGCTGTCGGGACTGACCCTGGGTTAGTTCCCGTCTTATTAGGGTTAGTTTCCTGCAGCTTCTTGGATGTGTGGAGAAAATTCCATCTATGGCTTGTGTCCTCAGAACTGGCGGTGTCTGGGAGGGACTGCTCTGGTCTGGCCAGGCTGGCAGTGGTTCTAAGCTTAGTGGACAAGAGCAGCTTCTGTTTGGGGTAGAGGGCTGGGTGGGTGAGTGCTGTAGTGAGCAGGACGTGTGTGGGGTGGAAGGCCAGGCAGGCTCTGGGATGCTGCAGGCCCCAGACTGGCAGATGTGCTCTGAGGACTGGGGCAGGCCTGGAGGATGGGTTGAGAGTCAGGTAGAGGAGGTGATAGGCATCCAGGTAGGAAAGAGTCTGAGAGAGGAGAGGGCTTGTTTTGGGAATGGCTGAGTCCCACAGACAGGAGGGAGGTGGGGGGAAAGGTAAGTGGGGGCTCTTCCCTGAGGGATGGGCAGCCATTGCAGGGCGCAGGGCAAGAAGAGCTGTGGCCCAAGTCACAGTTTGCGATGGCAGCATAGAGACTAGGCTTTGGGACGAGTGGAGGCCAGTACCTTTGACCAGGCAATAGGAGGCTGGACTAGGGTGGGCCTGGGGGTTCTGGGTGACAGAGGGAGACAACGGGCTAGTGTGCTGGTCAGTGATTGGGCAGGGCCTGGGCGGAGCCTGGGTGCTGAGAGCCAGCACCCTGTTAGGAGCAAGCACCTTGGTGGATTATGTCAGTGTGGGCCTTTGTGAGGAGTGGCACGTTGCAGCTGTTGGAACCCTGGGAAAGCATTGTTTGCGTCTCTGAAACTGTCCTTTGCGCCTGGAAACAATGTGAAAACCTTATTTCAGGGCACGTGTGTGGAGTTCTGCTTTGGAAAATGTGGCCTCCTGTATACACCTTAGGTAGTTTGAAAGCCCTGCTGTTCATTGGTTTCCTGTCACAGGCATCCCATGCCCACACGTAGCAAGTTGTCAGGACAGGTGTGCCATGTACTCTGTGTTCAGGGGAGACGAAGGAAGACCTGCTTCTGTGTGGGTGGTCAGGGGCTGACAGTGGAGCTGGCATGCAGAGGGTCAACACCGCTCCATCCACCAGGTGACAAGCGGCAAGACATGGCAGGCAGATGTAACATGTTGCCCAGAGCACAGCTCTATGGATGCACTTGGAGTATGTGTCTGGAGGTCCATGTGGAAGATGGCAGTGGCAGGACAGCCAGAGTCCAGGTGCCAGGCAGGAATGACTGGTCCCAGCAGGATGAGCCCACAGTGGTGACTGCCCTCCAGCAGCCAGGCCTCCCTGAGGGTCCCTTTCTCCTGGGGGATCTTTTTGGCCTAACTGACCAGTACTCACTCCTTTGTGTCCCAGAAGGGGCTGGCTGTGAGGATTTGCAGGCCAGGACCCAGTTCTGTCCTCACAGCTGAGTGAGGATGACCCCGCCCCCACTTTCTCCTGTGCCCCAAATGTTCTATCTGGAGTGCTCCTGGACGTCTTCATTCTTGACTGATCCACGGACCCACGTTGTGGATTCTCTGCCCCTTAACCTGCTCTTTTCCGGACAGTGGGCTTCTTTGGTTCTTGGAAGACGTGGTGGAGGAGGCAGGTCTCAGCATCATGCAGGGATGTGGAGCAGGCAGCTTTGCCCAAGATGTGCACGCAGAGGCAGGGACTCCTGGTGTGTTGGGGGCGGAGTGTTAGGTTGGACCAGAGGACCTCCAGCAGAAGTCTCACCGGCAGTCCTGTGGGTCAGAGATCTGTAGACTCTGGGAAGGTCACTTCTGAGCTTTGGTTTTCTCCATAAATTTGAGCCCCCATTTGTCCATTCACCCCATAGGCATTTGAGGGTTCGTTCCAGGTGCTGGGATGCATTGGTGAACTAGAAAGGACTTAGGCCTTGCTGGAGCCCAGGAGGTTCAGTGTCCCACCAATGAATGGGAATGCCCAGTAGTGACTGTGCTTTGACACTGGGAACATGGAGCTGTGAGGACAGAATTGGGGACGGGACTTGGGGAGGCTGGGAAGGCTGAGGTCTTAGGAGTTAGCCACATGGAGGAGGAGGAGGACAAGGACCGCTAGTGCACATGATGTGGCGAGAGTGCAGGGGCGGGAGCGAGCACTGTGGGCTACAACATCCATGTTCTTTGTTTTTGTTTTTAATACATTTTATTGATTTTTTTACAGAGAGGAAGGGAGAAGGATAGAGAGTCAGAAACATTGATAAGAGAGAAACATTGATCAGCTGCCTCCTGCACACACCCTACTGGGGATGTGCCCGCAACCAAGGTACATGCCCTTGGCCAGAATCGAACCTGGGACCCTTCAGTCCGCAGGCCAACGCTCTATCCACTGAGCCAAACCGGTCAGGGCAACACAGCATCCATGTTGAGGGTCTTGATCCTAAAACCTTTGTGAAAGGGTCACTGAGGAGGTCTATGCCAGGGTCGAGCCCAGTGAGGCCACCTGGGGAGGTGTGGCTTCAGTCAAGAAGTCTCCCCTCTCTGAGCTGTTTCCCCACTTGCAAAGCACACAGTAGGTGCTCCTTCCTGCAGCCCCTCCTACCCAGGCTCACCTCCTCGCTGGGCTGCAGTGAGACTCCAGGCCCTCTTGCCGCACACTGCCCGCTGCCTGGAGGACTGCAGCAGGCTGCAGAGAGGACCGAGAGGAGGCGGCTCAGGAGCCTTCCTCGGGATGTCCCTATGTCAGTTCCTCTCAGTGTACACTGTAATTGCACTCCACCATCAGCCAAGCTGCATGGCTGGGCTCCTGGAGCCTGCAGTCCTCACTAAAAAATTGGGGGACTGCTCCAGTGTTACTCAAGGCCTGTTCTGTGCCTGGACCCTGGGCACTCACTGGCCTGCCTGGTGGAGCTCAGTGGCTGGCTGCTGAGTGCTGTAGGGGCCCCCAGGAGGCCTTGTGGAGGCCATGGCCCCTCAGCTGAGCCTGGAGAGAGAGACAAGGTCTGCAGGGATGATTATAAAATGTATGTGGGGGGTGGGGGTGAGGGAAGAGGCTGGGCAGCCAGGAAGAGGTCAGACCTGGGAGGACCTCCAAGGCTAGACACTGAGATCCTTCCCTCAGCAGAGGGAGCCAGACTGGGTGCTGTGGGAGGCAATGGCAGGGCATATGAGAACACCGTGGGAAAGGGGGCTGTGGGGAGGGTGGAGCCAGGCAGAGCAGTGGACTATGGGGAGGGTTGCAGTGGGCAGGTCTGGGACACTCACGGGGTCTCACTTCTCCCAGCGGGTTGGGGTTCAGGTTTTCCTAAAACGGAGGTGTCGGGGTGGGGTGAGTCTGAGACTCTTGCCCTCTTGGTGTGTTAACCCTGCAGGTCCACAAGAAGTCGGTGAGTGCAGAGCGGGAAGAGAAAGGGCCATGACAGCAGAGGTGAGGACTGCATAGAAAGGCCAAGCAGGGCCCCGCAAAGCACGGTGGTTGGTGATGTTACGTGTAAGCCTGCTCCTGCTGTGGAACATAGATGCCACAGAGGTCAGGCATGCCTTGTGAGGACACCTGTCTTGTCTCTTACCAGTATCAGCTTATCTACTCTGGCAGGGAGCATCACCCCTGGGGACAGACTGGGACTAGAGGGGAACAGGGTGAGATCCAGGCCACACAGCTGTGGGACATGTGGCCTGGAGTGTGGCTGGGCTGTCCAGCAGAGCCTCCTGCTTCACCTGAGCTGAGGGAATGGCCACAGGGTGGGGTGACTCGGCGCCATTGAGAACTGGGAGCCTGCTGGACACGGAGAACCCCTGGTGGACCAAGCAGAAAAACTAAGTTGCCCTTTAAGGTGGGGAGATGAAGAGAATCTGAGAAGCTGGTGCATCTGCCCTCCGCAGGCCCCTCCTCACCAGTAGCCTTGTACAGGCAGCCCTCCTTGGTCCTGTCCTCTCCATGTCCCCCCTCCCCCAGCACCACACTCATAGCCTCCCTCTTGAAGCAGCATCTTCCTCACTCAGCTCTCTGCTCTGGTTGAAGGCCTGAGGTCATGGTCATGGCTGAGCACACTGGGATATATTTTCCAAACTTGGGGTGTGGTGGGATGGATCCTCTCCTTAGACGACCGCAGTCAGCTGGGGAAAGACATTCACCTTACAATCTGCACTAATATAGTTATTTATTGCTTTTTTACCATGTGGGTTACCAAGTTCAAAGGGAGGGAAAAGAAACGAAAATAACGGCTCATCCGGGACTGTCTTCCTTCAATGGCTTGTCCCTTGGCTTTTTTTTTGGAGCTCAGGCTCGAAGCTATGAGCTCTGCCTCATTCCCTGCCCGCCCCTGGGCCATGTGAGAGGCTCACTAGGTGTGTGTGTCTGGAGGCTTCGGGGAGTCCCCTTCCACGGTGTCCCTGCTCGGCTGCCCCCCTGTAGGGGCTGGGCTTCTGGTATCCAATGGCCTCGACACCTCTTGCAGAATCTCCTCCTTGGCTTGTGACTCTGGGTTCACCTCAGGCTGTGCCTCCTGGGGCTCCAGCTTGGTGACAGACTTCTTGTCAGAGCCAGGCTCAGGGGCCCATGGGGGTTCATGGACCCCTGAGGGTTCATGAACCCCTGAGGGCTCACGGACCCCTGAGCTCTCCCCCTCCTTGTCGATGATGGCTGCAGAGAACAGGCCCCGGACCTTGGGCTGCACCCAGCAGTGGCTAAGGATCTCGTCGATGTGCAGCCGCCGGTTGACGTCCGGCTGCAGGATGCGGTAGATGAGGTCCTTGCACTCACTGGTCAGGCTCTTGAAGCGCGGGAAGTTAACGCGGTGCTCCTTCTGGATGCGCAGCATCTTCTTGATATTGGAGTCGTCGTAGGGCATGGAGCCACAGACCATGATGTAGAGGATCACGCCCAGGCTCCAGATGTCATAGACCTTGGGCTGGTAGGGGATGCCCTGCAGGACTTCGGGGGCCGCATATGCTGCCGACCCACAGAAGGTCTTGCTCAGTGCCAGTCGGCCACTATCATCCCGCAGGCAGCGCTTGGAGAAACCAAAGTCAGACAACTTGATGTTGAAGTCCTTGTCAAGGAGAAGGTTCTCACACTTGAGGTCTCGGTGGACGACGTCCAGGTCATGGCAGTACTTGATGGCGGAGGAGAGCTGGTGGAACTTCTTGCGAGCATCATCTTCGTGCAGGGCTCCCCGGGTTTTGATGAATTCAAGGAGGTCACCCTGAACCCCAAGCTCCATGACAATATAGACCTTGCCGTCCGATGTCTCAAAGATCTCATAGGTCTTGACGATGGAGCGGTGGTTTAGCATGGTTAGAATCTCAATTTCCCGTGGAAGGAATTTCTCCAAGAAGTCTGCGGGGGCTTTCTTGCGGTCGATGATCTTGACCGCCACATTGAACTTTAGGCGCTCAGAGTAAGCGGATTTGACTTTTGCGTATGAGCCCTCTCCCAAATTTATCCCCATGATATAGCCTCGTCGCTTGAGGATGGCAGCATCATCCATGGTGCCAGGAGCACCCAGTGCCTCTGAGGCTGCCTTCTACATCCCTGCAAGACATGGGCCAGCAGTGTCCTCATTTACACTGTGGACGGATAGTCCTCTAGGCTGGCCTGGCCTGCTGTCCCTGCCTCCTAGAGGCCCAGACTCTGGGGTGGAACGTTCAGCATTGTCTCCCAGATGACTTCAGTGGGTGAAGTCATAAAGGAGGAGTATCTGGGGTAATGAGGTCCTGACTTGAGCCCCTTGGACTCAGAATCCTGGAAGGCTGGCCAGTAGGCTGCAGACCAAATGCCTACAGAGAGTGACCTCACACTTGGCTGGGACTGGAGGTAGCAGGGGGCTGTGGGGACACCTTGGTCTACCCATGCCTGGAGCTAGGACTGCTTGACCAGTGGTGGGGCTGATGACTGCAATCCTGGAAATTCAGGGCAGGTGGTTGTATCAGTCCAGGTCCCAGCAGAAAACAGGACATACTCCAGTTGGGGCAGTCTGAGGGTATAATAAGGGCATAACTTACAAAGGTGGGAGCAGAGTGTAGGAAACCCCAACAGTAGTCACACACTCCTGGAGAAAGGGAGGGATGATCATTGGAGCCTGGGAAGGATAGCATAGAGAGGATGACCTTGAGAGAGGCGGTGACCTTTGGTAGAGGCCACAGTGACCCACAGGCAAGGAGCTGGGGAGAAACGTCCCTGATTTTTCCCCCTTCAGTCTTGGAAGTCCTTGCCTTTGTCTACACAGGTGGCCTGCGGGCCATGCAGCAGGGTGAAGAATGGAGGTGAATCAGGTGGGGCCAAGACTCCAGGCCCAGGGTCTCTGATTTTAGGAAGCCAGAGCTCTGCCCTCTCCTGAATGGTTTAGCTGGACTCTTCACCTCCCTGGACTTAACTTTCCTCTTCCAAAGCTTCGCCAGCCTGCTTCTCTGATAGTGGCTTTGGTGGGGACAACTGGCAGGGATTTCTGCTCTTGGCTGTGTGTTCCTTCTTGGGGGTCTGGGCTCCTAGGGCAGATCTGGGACTGGGACAGAAGCTGGACCTTGATCCTGCTTTGAGTGCCATCAGCTGCTCCTGGAATGCTCCCTGAGGATGGTGCAAGTGGGAGAGGTCAGGGACTAATTTCTGCCAGCAGTAGAGTGCCTCTGCTGTGTCTTGCACTTGCTTGGGGCCACACCCTGAGGAGCAGGAGCAGGCAGGTCTGGCCTAGTCTTGGGTTGAACCTTAGCTATATCCACCCTGAGGAAGTGGGTGCCTCTCTCTCAGATGATCCTGAGTGTCCCAAGATTAAGGGACACTCAGGAGAACCATGCCTTGAGTTAGCTTGAGAGGACTGCTCCTGGAGTGAGTCAGTGGAGTGGAGGTGGGCCAGGTCAGGGTGGGTCCTTCAGTCCAGAAGCCGACGCCCTATCCACTGAGCCAAACCAGCTAGGGCCTCTTTTTATTTTTTAAAAATGTTTTTGTTGATTTTTTTTTTTTTTAGAGAGAAAGTTAGGGAGAGGGAGAAAAACATTGATGTGAGAGAGAAACATTGATTGATCACCTCTGGCACGCACCCCAACCAGGGGATGAAACCCGAAATCAGACATGTGCCCTGACCGGGAATCAAACCAGGGACCTTTTGATGCAACAGCCAATGCTTCACTGAGTCACACTGGCCCTTCACCCTCTTTTCCAGCCCTGACACCCTGTGCCAGGTCCTGTGTGCTTGGCTGTTTTCCTTTGGACAGCTTGCTCCTCTCTCCTACTGAGAACACCTTATCTGCTGGGTCCCCTCCCATAGTCTCCTTGTTCCAGATAACAGCTATGAAGTCAGTACTGTCAGCATTGTCCCCAGTGGCTTTATTCTATGCAGATCTGGTCTGATGTGCCCAGCGTTCCTTCTCCTACTCCCCCATTGTGTAGGCAGGGCCCTTCCTCCAGAGGCCAACTTTACTACAGGGTCTCTCTAAAATGACTCATTTTTATTTTTAAATAAATTTTTACTAGAGGCCCGGTCGTGCATGGGGGAGGGGCCACAGGCAGTTGGTGGGCCAGGCCCACCTCTGGTTAGTCGAACTCCTGGTGGAGGGGACAACTTGCATATTAATTAGCCTTTTATTATATAGGATAGGATTGATTCCAGAGAGGAAGGCAGATAGAAACATCAATGATAGAGAATCATTGATTGCTTGCCTCCTGCAGTCTCCTACGGGGGATTCAGCCTGCAACGGGGCATGTGCCCTGACCAGGACTCAAACCATGACCTCCTGGTTCATAGCTCGAAGCTCAATCCCAGAGCCACACCTGCGGGGGGTGGGGGGGGTATGCATGATACTCCTTTAGGCTACTTCTTCCTTTTCAGTTGTGTGCGCCAGTGAAGCCACACCAACCTGTGCCTGACAGCATCGATCCTCCTTTCCACCTCCTCAAAGTTGGGTCCTGACAGTTTTCTTCATCCCTTTTTCGCAGTCCTTTTTTTTTTAAATTATTTTTACTTTTTTATCTTCACCCGAGGACATGTTTATTGATTTTAGAAAAGAAGAGAGAGAGAGAGAGAGAGAGAGAGAGAGAAACATTTATCCCTGGGCCTTGACCAGGGATGGAACCTGCAACCTACGTGCCCTGACCTGGAATCGAACCCTAACCATTTTGGTGCCCGGCAGGATGCTCTAACAAACGGAGGCACTCAGCCAGGGCGCAGCCCTTCTGGAAAGGCCACTTTCCGGCCCACTCTTGGGCCATGGACCGGACCTCGGGCTGCAGATGTGCAAGGTGTGAGACTCTTTGTGTCCGTCCCCCTTGGCTCCCTCCCGCCCTGCCCCCCACCCCGGGGCCACACCCATTTTCCTTCGGTGTCCCGTCCACCTGGTCCCATCGCCCGTCCCTCCCCGGCGCCCTAAGATCTTAGGGCCGGCCCTTCGGCTCAGGTTACACCCCCGAGCCCCACCTCTCTGTTCAGCCAATGGCACTTCACCCCTTAAGCCCCGCCCTCCCGCCGGGCCTGCCCCTCACCATCCCGACTTACGCCTCGCCCCTTTCGGGCACTACTGCCCAGGCCCCGCCCCAGCCCGGCCAGGGGTCCGCA